TGTGTATATATATATATAATTTTATACACACACACAGGGATCATAAACCTCTCCATACAGAGACAAAAGAGTCCATGGAAAGACTGGCCTATGTATTCTATGTAATGAAATACCATATCTGTGGCAAAAATTACATTTTGATCAAAATGGGTGTCGGAAGGGTGTATGACATACAGAAAGAACCCAAAAACACCCTAGAATGGCTAAGCTTAGATGTTTAACCAATCAGTGAAGCCCAGCTTAGATGCTTAACCAATTAGTGAAGCCTAGCTCAGATGTTTAACCAATCAGTGAAATCAGCCAAAATAGAAAATGGGGTAAATGGTCAGCCACTAAGGACTGCTAGCCAGGGCACCTTGTAACATGGGTTTTTTATTATTTGTATTTCAGACTTGCTCGGACCTGCATTACTTATTTTGCTTTGCTCCAAAACTGCAGGTGAAGTGCAGGTTCCCTGCATGTATGGGATCCTCGAGCGGCATCGGAAAGGCCTGTTCAGCTTTGGCCCAGAACTAGTTTTTCTACATGAGAAATAAATACATACTCGCCGAGCCAGGCTAGAAATATCCCCATCCATGTCTCCGGGGAGGTTCTGTTACGCAACATCACTCCCGACATTTCTGAGGTGCATAATTCATGCGCCGATACGTTCTGCTCTATCTTATCAGGCTAATGGGGACAGAGCGCTGAGACACAAAGCCCTCCCAGCCGGATCACTGGCATGGCGGCTCGGAGAGAGCAGGAAGCGAGCAGGAACGTTGCCCCATGAAGAAGCTCTTCACCGGCGACCATCCAGAACCATGGATTCGAGTCGTACTGTAAATTGTCCGAAGTCTGCTCCTTCTACGACGAATCTAATCCTTCTCTATCTAGGGATGACAGCACACTGATGATTTCTGGCCATCAAAAGCTTCAGCGTGACTTTGTCTGTATGATAATGTCTGGACTGGTCCACCTCAGATTCCCAGTTAAACCCATGGAGATGAGCTGTGAATTGTGGCTGATGAGGCAAAGATGCATTGTGGGTTAAAAAAGAAAAAAAAAACTCTTAATGGGGAGAGTCAATAATTTTACTGAACAACTTCCATGGAATGATGCAAGGAATTGTCTGATGTGAGTTTCCTGACACTTGCAAACCTAAATAACAATGCTCATTATAATAATTTGTCACCTGTCAGTTGCCCAACCAGTGTGACAGCTTAGGCTCAACAAAGGCCACTAACCATTCCTGATTAATATCACTGCAGCCGGTGAACAGCAACATGACTGCGTAGTTACCTATCCTGCAGCAAAAGGTAATACAAACGTTAGCACGGCGGCACACTTTGCACGTCCAAGGTTCCACACCATTGTTATCCACAAACACTCGATTGCATCGCCATGGAGATCTCCAGCAGGTAGTAGGTTTAACCTTCCTTTGACAAACACACTACATACCAGTGAGATAGTTTAAAAGAAAATATTGATAGGTGGGTGGATGGATAAATGTTGAGGAATGATTAGTCTTATGGTAATGTAGTTGTGGTGCTAAATTAAGCACATTTTATTATTATTATATTTCATTTTAAAACATCAACAAATGTCTAGCATGTTAAAAATATTATAATTTTATTTTGTTGAAGTGTATTAACTTAAAATGAGCCTTTCCAGTTATTAATTGCACTTTCAATGGGTGTCAGGCTTCTGTTTTTAGAGCCGTTTGCTAAATCGGTTTTAGATTTTGATTTTAGTGTTTTGTTCATAGACATTCACCTTCTGTTTTAAGAGCAATGTCATAAAGTGACCAAAACACTGCTGTGGGGAGACGTGATGCAGTGACAGGGTGTAAAAGTCGAGGCTGTTTTATTGGACCCAAGCAACAGAGATACAGCCATCATTTACTTTTTGTCCTTATTTTGAGAATTCTGTTTTCAGCAACGGAGAATGTCTATACTGAACAGTTAATGCTGTATATTTGCAAATAGGGAAGAAAACCGTGTATATTTGCATTTAGTTTTAGACACTGTTTTAATAACTGTGTTTGTGACATGTCACATGTGGCTTTGACTTAAAATTAAACATGTAGACAACTTCAAAGAAAATACAGACATACTGTATACAGATGTATACACACACACAGATTTGCAATTATATCTTGGTGGGGACTCTCCATTCATTTCCATGGGGAAAATTCTAATCCCAACATGAAGACCTTAACCCCTACCCAGCCCTAACCTTAACCATAAATAACCAAACAAAATACTTTCGGTATTTTTAGTTTTTTGATTGCATTTACACATCTTTGTGGGAACCTGAAAAATGGTCCCGACAATGTCAAAAAAAAAAATCAGGTTTTTATTACATTGTGTGGAGCATTTGGTCCCCACAATGTAATATAAAGATAATTCCCCCCCACCCCACCACACACACTTGATACAGTTTTTGGTCCCCCACCCGTGAAAATCTTGACACAAAAACGTTGGGGGGCATTTCGATAAAAAAAAATTTCAATGAAACATAAAATAGCTGTCTACATTAGGAATATCAAGGATCATTTTAAGACACATTACAAGACACACGTTGTATTGCCTGAAGCAGGTCACTGAGATCTCGCCGTTCTGTTCCAGTAGGTTCATTGACCCATTACACAGTAGCTAAAATCACTGAATGTATAATAGTATTAGTTGTTTAACAGAATCGTTGTTCATTTATCTGATGGAACCAGGTACTCATGAGAGAATAGATTTCAACATTGCACACAGACTTTCACAAGCATGAACACAGCTCATCATGTTTACTGCAATCATTGCACCTGTTTACAAACACCACAATAGAGTTTATCCTTGATCTGCATTCCTCTCTGTTGCTGTTAGAGCAGATGCTTCTATACTAAGCGATGCACAGAACAGGTCAGCCAGTCCCCGGAGTAACTGGGGGCCTCGCTTAAGGGCTGAAGAGTGAAATCACCCCGCAGACACTGGGATTCAAAGCAGCAATCGTCTGATCACAGACACAGCATCCTGACCGGCTGAACCTCATACTCAGTGTGCACGTTATCATGGGACACTTTATATTGGCCGTGCGGCTTTTGGCACGACTGGTCAAACGTCTCGTGAATTTATGCAGCCTTCAGTTCCCACTGACACACCTGCATCACAGTCTGTCAGAGGCGCAGAGCTGTTCCTGTAAAAGCACATTTTCATGTCACCCCACTATTTCCGAGATGATTTTCCTTAGTGCCGTTAGTGACCCTCTTTCTGGTGCCTTTCACAGGAGACGTGTTAAGTAGCAGCCATGGCCGAATTGTACGGCACAGTTCTGAGACGCCTGCAGCTGTGAGAAACCGCTTCACAGGTGGATAGTTCGGGTCCAGATCAAGATTTTGTTTCAACCAACCAGATGAGTATAAATAGTCTCTCACAGAGTAACTCAACTGGTTGGTTGAAACAAAATCTTGATCTGGACTTTTACCCTCAGGACTGGAATTACCCTCCTCTGTTCATACAATCGTGTCCACCTGCCCCTAACCCACCATGTATCCATCCACTGGTTTTCTGACCAGCTGCGCCAAGTGTCATATTCCTTACACACCGCATTCAGAGTGATTTTTCATTTATATATTTATGTGTCAATGGTCTGTTTTGTAAGTTTCGAGTCAGCTGTCACTCCTTGTGAGAAACACATAAAATGATGAGATTCTGAAATTAATCAACATAAAAGTTATAAATTATCACTAGGATAAATTAAACCAAAGATGACATTGAAAGGGTTAGCCAGCTCAGAGTCGGTTGGTGTGATACTTTGGGGGGAGAATAAAGATCTGGCAGGGAAAATGTACCTTGATGTTAATATAATTCATACAAGCTGGTCAGGGTCATGGGCGACCTGGGCACAAGGCGGGACTTCAGACTGGAGAGAATGCCAGCCCTAAAATAATAATAATGTAATTTCAGTATAAAATTTTACTTAATGTTTTCATTTCTGCATAGGGTGCACAGAGAGCGACGAACGTGGGAAACCTTGAATGGCCTGTGCAAAGATAAATAACTAAAAACACATGGTGGTTTCTGGTCTAACGACAGGAGCGAAATTGTGGCGTACTGCCAGATGAAAACCTGAAAGAGGGACGCCCTCTGTCTGCTCGACAGGGGTACTGCGAGTGGACGCTGGGTAGGAGCCTCATCACTGGCATACCAAGAGAGTCCAGTGTCATAGTATCCTGACCCCCCCTCGCCAGGTTGGGGGGGGGGGAGATATTCCTCTTCTTGTTCCTCAAGGCAGAGGTCATACATGAAGTTTTGAAAGCTTTAAGATATCATCAATGTAGCGAAGAGAGCTGACAGATGACCCCTGACGGCCTCTGTATTTTGCTTCTTCCTTAAAGCAGGACCATGGTTGTCAAATTCCCACACAAAGAGGGGATTTATTGAGTTTAGGGCAGCCTGTGTCCACCTTTTCACATTATACACTTCAGTTTTACTGCTCCTCTAAAGAGGCACTTAATTCCTTTTTAAAAAGATCTATTAAGAGCTTGAATAAAAATAGCTTTGGCACTGTTACTTGACCATAGATTAATATCGGAGACGCACATTTAATTCCGTAATTACAAGGTGTTACTGTCTTTAGAAAATGGTTTATCACGAAGTTTGGTGAGAGGAAGAGTGCAGGTTGGTACAAAAACCTGCGAGTCTGTGAGCGCGCTTGTTCTGGACGTGCCGTGACGGGTGTCCGACAGCGCCACCCACTGGAAATTCAGAGCCGTGCTGTAGATGCACTCAGTGGTTTCCAGAAGAGTCACCGCGAATGAGCCATGCTGACAGCAGCCCTGGAGCCCTGGCCCGTTAGCCCTGGTCCTGGACATTCAGTGGACCTCAGGTCCATGTCTCCATGGGGACCATGGCCTCTTTGGAGCCAACTGGGGGCAGAAGGTTCTGCTCGCTCAGGAAGTTAAGTGGAAACTGGATCAGGAAGCCGCGGATCTTCTTTAGCTCCTCCTTAGCCCGAGCTGGATCTATCTTGTCCAGACCCAGCTTGCACAAGTAATTCTCCATCTCCTGCATGTTCCGCACGTCGCTGGAGGGCAGGCAGCGAAACACCTGGGCAAAAACGTGGAGAGGCACCATGTCATCAACACCAAAGCCAAGGGCTGTATTTTGTATGTTCAGCTAGTACAGAATATTCCAGAATATTCCATGGATCATCTTTGAGTACTCATCAATATAGAATGTTCTAGAACAGAGGTGGGCAATCTTATCCGGAAAAGGCCAGTGTTTGTGCAATTTTTCACTGCAACTCCCTAATTAGATTACCATTTAGAGGACTGATTAGCTGAATGGTCCTCACATCTGGATTTGAACAACTGACTTAAAGGTTATCCCAAAATCCGGCATATACACTGGCCCTTTGCGGATAAGAAGGCCCACCCCTGTTCTAGAATGTTACGTCATTTAACAGTGATTCAGCCCGGTGTTGAGCCGCAAGACTAAACGAGGAGTACCTTTTCATAAATGGTGGCATTGCGAGCTGATATGACCATCCAGACCTCCTTGTAGAAGCGATCGCTGATGGGGTCCGTCACCTCGATGGTAGGGTCCGCGAAGGCGCCGAGGATCGTCCTGTGGGGCAAGTAGAGTGAATTTGTTGGTGTCTGCTTGCTTCGTACCCCTCCCTCAGAATCCCTCCAAGAACTTGCCTGAAACACTCGAGCCTCAATTGCAGGCCGAACCGTCCAGCCCTGTACTCCTGTCCATCCATCACAGAGTCCACCATCTCTGTGTCTTCCACGATGACCGCCACCTCGCTATCACGCTTTCCCAGCATGCTGCGGTCATTGATGTTGGCCGAACCTGGAACAACCCCCCCCCAAAAAAAAGGACGGGTGAGGTCTCCTGTAAATGTCACCTCAAAGGGAAACGGTGGACTGCAGCAAACCCACTTCCCTGGAGAATCATGAAGGAGAATGAAGATTGAGATAATGCTCGTGGCCATTTTGTTCCCTCGTGTATCTTTGACCGGGTGATTCAGTCCGACAGCAGGCTAATTCAATGACGGCAAGATCTGGCACCTAAGGAATCCACACTAATCTGATTCCAGCGATGCATTAAGTGCCATTACCTGTCTTCATTGAGATTGCTTTCACTTCATCCAGAGTCTTTCATCTGCAGTCAGTATTTATAGTAATTATGACAGCCTAGTGAGTCTGTTTTTTTATTTATTCATGTTGTTTGTTGTTTGTGAGAGACGTTCCTGCCTGCAGTGTCAGGCTTCCGGAGGCAGGAGTGCACAGAGAGAGACGCTCACTCCGGGGAGTACAGCGAGGAGCACCGAGGGACACGGGGATGACAGGAAGGGACGGGGGTTTCATTTGGGGACAGGAGTTGATACAGCATGGAGCAACAAAAAAAAACAAGACAGTCTTATAAAAACCCAGATAAAAAGGAAAAGGACCCAAGGTCGCGGCTGAGGGCTGAGACTCGAGGGGTGAGAGATGACAGAATGAACTTTGAGGCTAAAGTAAAGTAAATAATTAACTAAAGCATGTAAATAAATAACTAAAGTAAATAATGGCAATGAGGCACAGGTGAACCAAATGGATGTCCAAGTCCATGACACTACCGCACACCAGGACAGCCATGCATCCCCCCAGAGAGAGGCGTGATGCTTGCCGTATAGTATTGTGACTGCTATAGTATATTTTATTATAAAACAATACTTTTCAGCATCCTGTGTGTATAATGTTACTGTGGAAGCTGGGATGGGGGTGAGGAGCGGCTGGGATGGGGGTGAGGAGCGGCTGGGATGGGGGTGAGCTCTTTGTCTTGGTCTGATTAGCAGCTTGGGCTAGCTGCAAAAACTTTCCTCCACTTAATGTCCCGTCTGAAGGTAAGGGTAAAAATAAGACATATTTGGACACTTGAGCCCCTTGAATTGGCTGCCAGAACGCTGTGTGATTTGTGTAACTCCAGAGAGACAGAAGGAGAGAGAGAGATTATGACTGCGCTCCTGCCTGTGATACAGAATAGTCAGCCCTGATTTCTGTTTCAGTATCTTTGGCATTAGCATTGTTGATTCTGGAAGTATCAAAACTTCAAATGAATAGATATATGAATAGATCACTTTGAAGTGCTAATCCAAACATTACCATGTGCAATGCCTCAACTAAGCACCAGGGGGTGCAAGAGTATCACAGCCAAGAACTAAACATAGCCCTGACTACATGTAGAGTTGCATTCTGATGTGAAAAAAATGCATAAAAATACATAATGAATGGAACCTTGGGAATGGAAGAATTTCCTTTTTAAAATTAATTATGAAATAAATTTATACATGTGCAGTGCAGCATGGTTACTCTAGGTAATGCTCTGTGTGTGTGTGTGTGTGTGTGTGTGTGTGGCCATGTATATATTACTAATGTCCCCACAATGTGATAAAAACCTGCTATTTTTATGTTGTGGGGACCATTGTTTCTGTGCCCAAAAGGGGAAACTCGATATTAAAGGGCCGTCAGCCTCTCAATCCACGCCCTCACCGATGATGACGGTGTTGTCGTCGGCGATGAGCATCTTGCTGTGCACATAGATGATCTCCGTCACCAGCCGGCCCTCCAGTTCGGCATGGGTCCGTAAGCCCCCGAAGGAGATGTAGTTAATCCACTGGTCCCCCACTGCAGGGAAGAGTAGATCGAGTCAGTTCACTGGTCTCACACTGCAGGAGATGAAGTTAATCCACTCACTCCATAGAGACAACGGTATAAACAACTCCCACAAGAATCCCTATCCGAGGATGACACATGACCCTCACATGACCCCGTCCCCATATCACATGATCAGACCACCATCTATCACCAGTACACAGAGCTGAGGAGTGGCCCCAAGGCCAAACCAAATCCCATAAAGCCCTGAGCTGTGAACATAAACACACACTGGTATTTCTGTAAACAGGTACGCCTGTGGTCTGGCCTCAGCTACCACTCACAACACACTCTCACGGTCACACCAAAACGAACAGGGTCACCAGTGCACATGGGGTCACCAGAGGGTCGTTTTACCGATGAATGAAATGAAGCCTTATTTGCTCTTTGCACAAGTACGAGAGCAGGTACATCAGAATGTGTTTTTTAAACACACACCCCACCTTGCGCTAATTTTTAAAGTCAAACACGCATACATTGGTGAGTGCAAAGCTTTGGGTCAGACTGCAGGGTCAGCTGTCCAACCAGCACCCCTGGAGAATTTTTCGGGGGGGTTAAGAACCTTGCTCAAGGGCCCAAAATGGATGTGGCTACTATGCCAAGTACAGGTTTCAAACTGGCAACCTTCTGAGTCACCGATTTGTAACCTGCAAAGGAACAAACTGCCCACCAACTGAATGTTTCGCCCTGAGTTTAAAACCCACAGCAGAGGAACCTTCTTAAATGGAGAAACAGATCCATATGAGATGAAAGTTATGTGTAGGGAGTTCAGATAAACAAGCACCCCCCCTTTTTTGATCCCCTGCCCCCTTGTGTTCCTTAAAAACAGGTCAGCTGACATCTACTGCAATCACAAAGCGCCATCATTCTCAAAAATGTCACAGTTGTAGATTGTTTTGATTCCCAGCCCCGGCCGCAGCGATGGGGTTATCTGATTGGCCGCCATCATGTCTGACACGCCAGGATAGGTATGTCAGAAAGGAGGTGGATTTCTTATAGGTAAAGACTGCCATCCTCAGTCCTAGATTATCCGGCATCACATAGGGTACAGCATCACCCAACTCGGGTTGTATGCGGTGGAAAGTGACATCCATAAATGTACGTAAATGATGTGAAGGAGCTGGATCTACTGAGGGGGCAAGAGATTTGAACGCATATTCGTAACTCGCTGCGCTACACACCAGCCCAAAAATAACACCCATTCAGAACAAGCACATTCTGGCCACTTCACAGCTTAATCGGAAAAAAAGCATACACACGCAAGATATCAACAACTTACTTTCTTTCTTCAGCTGGGAAATAATGGAGTAATCACCTTTGATCATAGTCCTGTAAGAAAAACAGAAAAAACTCACAATGGATCAATAGTGTAAATGTCAAATCTGCCCAGTGATGGTTGGTTGCTCTCCGACTCGTGTCCTGTGTTTTCTGGGGTCAGCCTCCAGTGCTAAGGGATTGAGAAAATTCTAGACACACTCAGTCTACAGAGAGGGGATTTTTTTTTGGGGTGGAGAAGTGGCAGAAGAGGCACAAGCTTCATAAGAGATGGGATTTAACATTGTAACTTGATTCCCAGGATGGACGACAAGAGACGGGGATCTCCACCTTAGATCTCAGGAAATCCGGGAAATATTTCCTAATACGAAACTACGTAATACTGGCACTTTCTGAAATTACATGTGCATGCGGGTCGGAATAGACCCCAGATCCATCTAGATCCTCCTTCTGTGGGAGGCGGTGAGAGTGCCCATGCCTCTCAGGAAGGACATTCCCGGGATATCCACTCTCACAAGGCGAGAAATCCAGGCAGGAAATGGGGGGTCTTTTCACATTGGACAGTCACAGGGATATTACCCCTGCCCCCCACCCCCCAGCCCTGCCTTGCCCAAATATAACTCCTCTAGCCCGCCAAAATGCACCTGGAAGAAACCCAGCGAATATAAACTGATCCAGGCCCATAAAAAAACGACAACACAACGCTGCTTGTGACAGAGCAAAGTCCCTTTTAGAAAAACACTGCAGTGTTTGTTTTGGTCCACAGTCACCTTCGAAATTGCCTCAGTTATTCTGTAACACAACAAAACAATGTTTAAATCTACTGCCTGAGGATTTAGATAAGAAAGTGTGACTGCCCATGCATGTGGAAAATATTACATTTACTTCCCCACTGCCCCAGGAAGTGCCTGTTTAAAAAGGCACTGGGAGCCATGTTGTTTTTCTCGAGTGAAACCTCACTCTCAACTCTCTGACCGATCTGTGCCATAAGCTGAAATAAAATGCCTGCACACTACACAAGCTGACCAGAGCTCCAGTTTTTCTGGCCACCTTAAAGCAGTCTACATGTTTCGCAGAATGCAACGCAAAGCCTCTGTTGCAGGTTGCCGCTCATTTAAGAATGCTTTGCAGTTGTTCTCCTGGGTGGCCAGTAGAGGGCGACATTCTCTTAAGAGCCTCGGCCAAGGATGATATCATCCTAAGCACAGATTAATTCCCACTCCGTAAATTTCACTCATCAGGTCATCCTTCACACAATTAATGATGCACAATGAATCCTACAGCTGCAATCCTATATGTCCACCGATCCAATACTATGATCATCCTCACCCTCGTCATCCTCACCTGTAGTTAAAGTGCATGATGGCCTGGATGGCGTGGCCTCCCCCCGTGTTGATGTCTCCCTCGAACCCGGGCAACAGGGGTGTCACCACATAGACTCGGAACTTCTTGTTCTCCCTGGTAAAGACAGAGGTCAAGGGTCATGGCCCATGTGACACCTACAAAACCTAAAATCCAAAGGAGGCCAGATATAGTGAGACAACTGCCCTGCTCGCCTGGTGCACTGGTCTGGCTGTGCGATCACTCGGACAATAGCCCTCAGTTGCATGTATGTGTGTGCGTCACCCATTTTCTTATACAAATTACAGAAACAACACTGTTAAGAAAGGAAGGAAGCATGAAAATGAATGAAAATACTGTTAGCTGCCGGGATCAGGAAAATCCCTCGGAACAATAGAGTCATTAGATTCATGTTACCGCGGCGCCAAAATATGCAAATGGCAGCCAGCCACAGTGGGAAAAGGTCAAAGTTCACAAGAGAGTTCTTGGCGAGACCCAACTACTGCTTCCGATGCAATTATGAAGCACGGAGCCGTTTCTCTAACCACAAGCAGATCTGAGCTCGGCGTTGCGGGTCGGAAACCCCAAGCAGCGTTAAGTACATGAAGGGTAAAGAGAACAGCAACCTGGATTCGGAGGGAAGGATATGAGGAGGCAGGGGCAGGGGTGGAATTAATATAAAAAAATTACCAGACGATGACGGCAGGAAGTACAGAGAGCCGCAAACCCCAGGAAATAACTCCCAGAAGCTGTAGCTGAGCCAGTAAGAACATAAATTTAATGCTTGAAATAGCTTAATATTTGAGTAACACTTAAAGCAGTCATGATAATGCATTATGGATACCTTCATAATGCATTATAATGGTCAATTATTTATAGTGTATAATAGATGAGAGCTTCAAAGACCTTCCATAATACATAATATGCATGGCTATAATGTGTTGTCTTTTTATAAATAGCCATGTTTATAATACTTTATGAATGCATTATAATACCTTATGAAGGTATCTATAATGCGTTATACGTGAGTGATTTAAGTGAAGTATTACCAATATCTGTTGTGGATATAGATGCACAGCATTCTAAGGTGGCCCAAACAGCCTGCTGTGAATACAGAAAAAGGCTCTCCCATTCATTCACTAATATTCGTCTCCAGATCACCAGGCACCCTTTCCGGACCGGAATTCACTCGCAGCCAGCACAGAAGCGAGAGCCAGACCGCAGGCGGGCTGGAAAAGCAGCTTTCCAGGTATCCAGGATACAGGCAAAAATATTACCGTTGCTTAACTCCATTTTACTGTCGGTCTTACAGAAGTTGCTCAGCTTAAATGTTTCGAACAAAATGGGACATGACTCGGACAATTTGAGTTAGAAGTGCAGGTCACTTGCACCTTTTCATTACAGAATGTCAATATTTTATTCATATCGCCTTTGCATATCCCATCCTGTTTACCATCAGAGTCAAAGACACACATGCAAATAGTTTTGGGTCAGAGAGGAGAGTCTGTCAACAACCCCAGGGGGGGTTAAGGGCTTTGCTAAAGGGTCCAGTGGTGATAGGATTACTCTGCCGGCCACGGGATTTGAACCTATAACTTTCTTGAACTAAGCTCAGACACACAATCCACTGAGACACACATAATCCCGAAAACAGCACCATAAACACATGCATTTTACTTTAGAGCTTTAATCCTAGATATTACGGTCATTGTGGACAAAACTCACTTGTAAGCCCTGATGATCCGTTCTATGATGGCCTCCCCAATCTTGTTGTGAACTTGCCTGTTGTCAGCACAGCTTATGAAAAACTGGTTCTAAAGGAGGAGAGAAAATACCTTTACAGACTTGGACAGATGGACCAGCCCACGCCATCACTGCCACCCACAAGTGCTAATGTACCTCAATGTAGATGAAGTGCTTGCTCTTAGCGATCACCTGGACATAGGCATTGTGAATCGACTCTTCGTGGTACTTGATGCCAGCCGACCAATCCGAGGCAGACCGGAGAACCTACAGATCGTACAAAACGTTCACACTGATGTCACGATTGTGTGGGACGGTGACGTCGAACTGTTGACTGTGACAGCGCTGTGGATCACTGTGAGTAGATCTTCACAGTCTTCATGAGGAAATATTTTAGAAACCTTTCCCACAAAGGTAATAATGAGTGGAAACAGATTGTCCTGCCAAGAAGGCAGCTTTCACACAGCCATTTGTAAGAATTTTTCCTCTCTTCTTGAGTTTCTTTGTCTTGTGTTTGGGAATCATTCATTGCATTAGGTCGGGCGAGTTCAGGAGAAATATTCGTGTGTTCCCTTGTGTATCTGAACATGTGCATGTTGTCTGTGAAGCTTGCAGGAGTTTTACTTACACAAAAATGTTCTGTGGGCAAAAACAAAAAATGATTAATCCTGCCTCCTCTAGTTGGTCCTGCCTGGTCTAGTTGCTTGGTCCCACTTCCTCTACAATCTGATTGGTTATCTCTCTGAACCAATCATTTTCCATTCTGAACATTTTTGTGTAAGTAAAATTCCCGTGAGCGCCTGTGTACAAGCTCATGGCTGGGAACCCTCCTGCCGCCGTTGCTGGTACGGAACGTAGTACCTGCACTTTAGTGTTGACGCAGCCTGGCACCTGGTACCTCAACTCGTTAGCAGTGCTGTGTGACTTGGGCATCAGGAAAGGGTAGGACAGCGATCTGTACTTCGGTTTCATTATCTGACAGAGGGCAGGATGGAGAATTCATGCATAAATCATAATGCACCAATGAAAAAGAGGGTCACCGACTGACCCTTGGATGACGTTTACTTCAAAACCGATCGACAGAATAGATGTAGCTATTTTAACGGGAACTATACTGGTGAAAATACAACAGAGTATAAACGTAAGATGGAGATAAAGAGAAAGTCACAGATCACAATGACTAATAAAATAAAACAGCTTTGACTGCGATCTCCCACCCACCTTGGTGAAGTTCCAGCGCTGGATGAAGTGCCTCGCTACATCCCGGGCTGCCTTCCCGTGGACCACGGAGGCGATGTCATGCCAGGGCATTCTGGGAGTGGTGTACCTGTTGATGAAGTCTGGGGGGAGGGGTCAGAATCTCATTGTCACCAGGCCAGGTGGAAATGACATGTGACCAACCTTTTAACTCTTACAGAAAGCAGTGACCTGGAGAAGCCAACGTGGCGTGTTCTTTGATATCTCTTCCCCTTGTGACAAGCTGGGACAGACCTCATCACGGTTCAAACCAATTTACTGATCGCTATTTAACTGCATTGAATCATAAAGTCTGCCGTGAGTAAAGACCAGGGGACTCCGAAGGCAAACAGGGTGGCCCCAACCGGACTGGGTCGGCAGAAGTGACCCAAACTGCCATAGTAGTGCTCCACAGGCCAGGCCTACCGTCAAAAGGCTTCTCCAGCTGGATCCAGTCCTTGTAGACGAAGTTGCAGTAGTCCTTGCCGTGCCAGAAACGCGTGTTTCCCATCAGCTCGCCCACACCTGTCTGCAGGCTGCGCATGGATCCCGTTTCTGAAGGGGGGGGGACAAGAGGAGTGGGACAACAGATCAGGCCTACAACTAGGGTGACCAGATAATCCATGTCAGGGAGGGCACTCTGAGCTACGACAGGAATTGTAAATTACCATTTCAATTAAAAGGACCTGGATTTCATTTGAGCACTGAGTTTTTGCTGTGTGCTGATTGGTCTCCTATAATCATGCATGTGTCACTAATGCTAATGTGAAACAGCTGGATGAGTCTTTCAGTCAAGGAAACAAACCAGTCAAAGCACAAGAAGAGCTGAACTATTTAGCCGAGCACAGGAGCCTTTCAATTTGAAAGTAGTTTGTAGAACCCGAAGTAGCTCAAAGTGTCTCCCTGACATGGATTATCTGGTCACCCTACCTACAACCTTCCGCCATTATAAACGAATATAAACGAAAGTGCAGTTATAAACGAATATTTTTACACAGTAGGCCTTAAAATTTACTGCTGCCCCCAAAGTTTAGAAAAGATTTTTCAACAACGTAATAAAAGTAATCAAGCATCATAGACGGACATAACAGGGCTACACTGTATTTTAAAAAAATGGATGTCATGCTAAGGCCTGCAATGGTAAGGCCTGCAATACAGAGCACAGAACAGCAAGTAAAGGGGCAGCCCAAAGCAGCTGATGCCAGAGCAGTGAGGGCAGAGATGCATCACATAGACACAGTGACGGCTGCCTGACTCACTGAGCTAATTAAGGTGACCGATAGGGATTGTTCATTGCCAAAGAGCCACAGGTGAATACAGAGATGGGTGCTAATGACACGTGAAGACGGAAAAGGGGCAGATACCAGCAGGAACAGCCTCAATACTGCAGCTCCACAGGTTGCCCCCTGTCGCAGTAATTAAGAGTGGAATGAAAATCAGTATGTTCATTTCTGGTCAAGCAAACTCGAGCCATCCAAGCACACACACACACACACTTAATCTGAGCTAGAGAGCAGCACAGAATTCAGGATGAACCATGTCAGATAGGGGGTGAGCAGCATCCCAGAGGGATCAGCCAAATCAAAGAGGGATTGGAAGTATCCCAGAAGGATCATCCACAACAAAGAGGGAAGTGTAATGTCCTAATGGGATGAGCAGCATTCCAGAGGGGTGAGAAGCATCCTGGAGGATTGGCAGCATCCCAGAGGGATTATACACATCAAAGTAGGATCAGCAGCATCCCAGAGGAATTGGCCATATCAAAGAGGGATCCACAGTGTCCCAGAGGGATCAGCCACATCAAAGAGGAATTAGCAGCATCCCAGAGGGATCAGCCACATCAAAGAGGAATTAGCAGCATCCCAGAGGGATCAGCCACATCAAAGAGGGATCCGCAGTGTCCCAGAGGGATCAGCCACATCAAAGAGGGATCCGCAGTGTCCCAGAGGGATCAGNTCCCAGAGGGATCAGCCACATCAAAGAGGGATCCGCAGTGTCCCAGAGGGATCAGCCACATCAAAGAGGGATCCGCAGTGTCCCAGAGGGATCAGCCACATCAAAGAGGGATCCGCAGTGTCCCAGAGGAATCAGCCACGTCCCAGAGGGGTCAGCAGTGTCTCAGTGGGGTCAGCGGAGCCAGGGAACGTACTTTCCTCGGCGCTGTCCAGGCTGCTGATGCTGCCGCCAAGATGCCGCGTGTGTCTGTGCAGGTGCCTGTAGAGACTGAAGCGGGACCTGCGGGTTCTGCCCATGCCCTTCGGCTTGGACGGGTGCTTGATGTCGTTTGAGCTGGAGGCTTTACCCCTACTGGAGGGGGCGCTGTCGAGTGATGTGTTGATGACAGCATTGAATTGCTGCAAAATAGGAGAAGACACAGTGGGCTTTATGGTTGATTAAGAAAAATTTAGACATGAAACTAATGTCAAACACATAAATCTGACACACGACCTGCATCACCTTTTCACAGCAACCTTAAGTATTATAGGGGTTTAACTAGTGATCTGAAGATGAGACAGCCAATGATGTTCATGGGAGATTTGAAAAGGCAGTAAATCAGAGCTGCAGGCCACATCACCGAGCAGGGCCCGGGGACCCCCACCTGCTCAGCGCACGAGGCACGCGTCACGCTCCCCACGTCTGTCAGCCGGTGCTCGCGGTCATCCCACCGTCCATACGCCAGGTCGATCCCCCCCACGAAGGCCACTGACTGGTCGATGACCACAATCTTCTCATGGTGCGCCCACAGGTAGACGCTGGAGGAGACGTGGTCGGGATTCCGCATCACCTGAGCACGTTATGGGGGAGGGGGGAGTCAATCACACTCAACACTCTTTAATGAAGACAAGGACACCTGCTCATCTACTTCCCAGCTTTTTTTAAAGAGTGACTCAGCGATGGTATGACGCATCAGCTAAGGTTCATCAGCCAAATGCAGTGGTTCATTTTCCTGTTCTCATCAACGCCAGGTAACGCGGGCCTCTGTCCTTGCTATCCAGCCAGTTGTGGTACCTTGATGTTGGGGTGAAGGCGCATCAGGGTTCGCTTGCTGTACTCGCTGTTGATTCCCAGAGCTAGCTCCACCTCCTTATACAGCATCACGAAGATCCGGACACCTTCTTGCTACAAGAGAGAGCAGATGCTATGATACAAAAGTTAAAGGTCCAAAGGGCTGACCACAAGGAGACCACTTCAAGTACCAAATCTGGACCCTGGCTGCTGCAATTAATATAGACCACTTATATCAGTGTTTCCCAACCCGGACCTATGAGACACTCAGACAGTGCACATTTTTGCTCCCTCCAAGCTCCCTGCCAGGCAGTCCACATTTCTGCAAAAACATGCACTGTCTGCAGGCCCCCAAGAACTGGATTGGGGAACACTGGCTTAAATGGAAATGTTTATCTATAAAATTGAGTTAGATATAAAACCTTGATGCAAGGTTATTCATCCTCGGTACAGCCACCATCGTATTTACTGTTCTGGCATTTTGAGCCCTGAAAAGCTTCCTTGTTTAATCGTGGCGGGTAATAAAAATAGGCGGTAGCCTTATGCGACGCCCCCGAAGTCTCCTTCCGAGCTGAACATCTGTTCTGGTGCTGACTGACCCAGCCTGCCCTGGCTGCAGGCCACTGCACTTACTGCCTTGCGCTTCAGCATGCAGTCCAGCCGCCACTGGTTACCCTCCACCACTGGCCTCTTCAGGAAGATCTCCGGACTGAGCCTAGGCAGACCAAAGCAGCACTGCGTCAGGTTCTGGAACTCGCACCCACACTTCCAGAGATTAGTGATGGGGATATTTCAAAAGGAGGCACCAGGCTTAACTCAAATGAACATTATAGAACCATCAAAGTTTTTTATTTCACAAAAATATATAACTGGGCTTAGCATCCTGGCCATAGCAACCACGACCCCCTACCACAGTGTTCCTCAAGCCGGTCCTCGGCGTCCCCCAGACAGTCCACATTTTTGCTCCCTCCTTAGTCCCAGCACACCGGTACCAAGTATTCAGGGTTTTTGTTTGGTTGAGAGCTTTGGGAGGGAGCAAAAACGTGGACTGTTTACGCATCCCTCAGGACTGGGTTGATAAACACGGAAAGATAGGCAGTAATGTCTATTTTATAAATTAGATTTAAGAAATGCAGTGAAATGTTGCAGATTTTCAGCAAGGCTGGGGCAGGCTTCGGACCCGCCAAGATTCCTGTGCTCCTCCTCTAATTCACTGTGAGCTCATTTTGTGGTTCTAAAAGCGCTTTGTGCCAGGATTTTCATTCCAGCCGCCTCCTGGGCTGGCACTCTCTGCCTAAGAGGGCCTGAGTTATAGCTGCTGTTCTTTGTGACTCTCACTCTCTTTCTTAATTTTTTCTCTGTTTTACTTTATTTTTCTCACTTTCTCTCTCTCTCTTGCTCATTCTCTCTCGCTCATTCTGTTCTCTCACTCATTCTGTTCTCTCCCTCTCATTCTCTCACTCTCCCCCCTCTCTCTATCCCCTCTCTCTCCCTCCTCCCCTTCTCTCCCTCTCTCATTCTGTCCTCTCTCTCTCCCCCTCCCTCTATCCTGCCCTCTCTCTATCCCGCCCTCTCTCTCCTGTTCCCTTTCTCACCCATTCTGTTCTACCTCTCTCATTCCCCCTCTCTGTCTCCCTCCCTCACTCTCTCTCCCCCACTTTCTTTCTTAACCCCCGCCCCCCCCCTCCCCAGCACTCAATGTGCAGCTTGTTGCTAAAGCTCCATTTCCCGCAGCCTGAATGTGGAATCTGTGAGGAACAGAGAGTGCTTTTTCCTGCCCTGGTTCCTGGTGCCAGGACTCCCGCTGCTTCCCTGGAGGGATCCTCAGAGAGACCGAATTGCTCAGCTACCATTTCCATGGCTGCCTGTCCTCCTCCTCAACCCTTCTGTCACTCACTGTCCCCTTTAATAACGATGCTACATGCTTTTAGTGCTGCGAGGAGGCAGCAAAGTCTAAATCGCTCCAGTTGACCATAATTTGCCGTGTTGTCCACAAACAAACAAATTCAGAAATTCTGCAAGATCCATTCAGTCACAGCCAGCCCCCCCAGCCCCCCTGCCTCAGTGATATCATGGCCATCTTCATCCTGTCTTTCCTTCCTTACAATTGACAGTTTGCATTTCATTTCTCTCAGAGCAGGATGTGGAAGACCTGTCAGAATGCTCCTCACCCCTTACCCAAAACACCCCCCACGTTTCCAGCTTACATACCACCAGTCTGTGATGAAGATCTCCTCTTTGGCTGCCTCCAGGGCTTCGGCGACATCTTCCATGAAGGTCTTCCCATTGACATACCTGCAGTGAGACGGCGGTTTTGTCGTTTACCGATGTTCGGGACCAGAGGGAATCAAACGGCTTTCAGCCTTACAACCTACAGTACACCCTTGTGCAAATGAACTGGAACAAGCTGTCGCGTCGAAATACTGACCACAGTTAAGACAGACATTACAGTCATAGTGATTCATACTTTTGGCCTTAGGTCCAGATATAGGACCTGGTGGATTGATAAAAACTGAATGGGAATATCTCAGGATGGGGTGCCGATCCATCGCAGGGCACAAAAACCATTCATTCCTGTGAGGAATTTGGCCGCTCCAATGAACCTCAGCATGTTTTTGGGCTGTGGGGGGAAACTGGAGCAAAACGCAACGATGACACAGGGAGGCACCCAAAACCCAGAGCATTCACTTGAAACATTAATTTGCACAAGGGTGTAGGTTTCTCCTTCATGGCCGGGTTCATATGAACAATAACAATAATGTCCCCAAATTGGCTGTGACCCAAACTGGCTGTAAGGAATCTTCACTGAAGATATCTCATCATTAAACTTCGTCTCCTTTGTTCCATTCCTGGTCTTCTAATTATTATCTTATTTATAGGTATGAATTAACACATACGATGTCCAGATGAACTGCATTCTCAGTTTCAGTGTTAACACATTCGCTGTAAAAATCAGGAGGCGTTTAAAAAATGGACACCAGTAACTTTATTTTTATAGGCAACATGGTGGGGATACATTAGGCTCATGCACCAGGGACACCTACACCTTTCTCTTCAGGCATGATTTGTTTTTATTTATTGGAGGGGGGAGGTCGTCCCAACCCCATGACACCGAGACCTCATTAACGTGAAAGTTTCTTTGCCCATCTCGGCACTCTGGGTAATGAAAGTATCAGATGACCAACCCAGGGAAAGTTAAAGTGTTTGTACAACTCAGAAGAGCTTGTCTCACAGTTGCCCATGTCTCAACTTGGCCCACTGATTCTCAAACATTGTAACATTATATCGAATGATTATACTTCCGTTAATAGTAGACGCTCCCTTGAGTGCTGCTGGGAGCTTCACTCACGACAAAATGTTCTGAGGGCAGAAGAAAAAATGATTGTGGGTCCAAGCAACTAAAGGAGACGGGACCAAGACATGCGATTGGTTGGTCCCACCTCCTCTAGTTGCTTGGCCCCACCTACTCTACAATCTGATTGGTTAGCTCTCTGAATCAATCATTTTTCCTACTGCCCTTAGAACATTTTTGTGTAAGTGAAACTACCATAAGTCTCTTGAGTGATGCATATAGTTTGGTCAGGGAGTATTGGATGACGGTTACATGCAGGACACCGGCTAGGTTGCAGGGGTGGTTACCATTTGGCCGGGATGTTCTCCTCAGGCCTGGCGAAGGAACCAAACCGGTTCTCCCTCAGGAAGGCCCGCCCATGCTTGCGCACAAAGGTCTCGATGGCTTGACCCCACCAGCGCGCCTGACGGAAGCTGGTAAACTTCAGCAGCAGAGTTCTGCAGGGATCATGGCCGACCACGGTTAGGGAGCCCACGATTTTCCCACCCACGCAGCCCAGACCCTCTTAAACTGCACATATGGGCTTGATGGAGGAGATGCAAGTAATGTTAGAGTAAAAGTAAATGATTCAATACAGAAGTATGACAGAATAAAGGGTAAAGGAGGGGCAGCCTGATCCGCAACAGAAAATCATCAAGCTTATCAAACAGATGCAGACATACTAATGTGATACATGCACCCACACATCTGACAGGGAAGAAAGGACACGTTGACACTGTCCTCTGGCACGCACCTGGACAGGCTGTCAATCCGGATGCCGTGCTTCGTCTCGGTGTCCTTGGAATCCATTTTGATGGTGAACTCTTTGTCCACCAGGAGGACAAAGGAAATAGCTCCAGTGTCTGGCTTCATGTACATCAAGAAGGAGTCTTTGACCACCAGCCACCTACAAAAGGAGACAGTGAGGGGCGAAGGTCACAGAAGGAGATGTCTCTAGAAAAAGAGTTTGTTTGAAAAACATTGTCATACCATATGTATGTTCAATACATTTGCCCGCATTGGACCACATGACATAGAGATGGGATGTATGTGTTAATGGCAATATGTTTTAGAGTATCAGCGCATATGTGGTGTTGGGGGAAGCATTCAAGGACAGATTATGGATGCACATCCAATCAGAGTTCTGCCTTTTTGGGAACTGTGTTAGACTAACTCAGCAAATTAGAGTGTGGACTCTACCAGGAACCAAAGGAGAACCCACACCATGGACATGCTCAGTACACCCACCGTTTGGACCAATGGTAGCAGACCTTGCTGCGACCCCCGCAGTTGAGCCCTGGGATATGGTGGCCCCCAGAACGCTTGGAGATCATCCCCTCCCTGTGAGAAACACAGGCAAAGCATGATGGGCAAGAGTTGGTGCTTGTCAACATGGATTACATGGTTTGACTTCCATATTCACAGAAGAAAGAGAGAGAGTTCAACATGATGCAAGGTAAACTAACAGACTCCTTACAAGCCCTTCGGCCCCAGTTCATGGATGAAGGACACCTGGCTCACATCAATGAACTCCATCTACAAGGTAAGAAACAGATCTTCCGTAAGACGCCAAAGCATCACAGACAGTGAGAAGCACTTCAAATGCGAGGTCACTGTTTGGTTTGCTCATGGCCAATCTGTCCATCTACAGGCACAACACAGGGAGTAACCCAGCATGGGGCGCCAGCCCATCACAGAGGTCAATTTGTCAGTTAATTAAATGTGATTGTTTTGCTAGCATTCAAATAAAGCAGCTTACTGTAGCATGGTATTTTCTGTAGACTGACATTTTCAGCAAGTTGTTCAGATAGTCCTCTAGTTGTTTCTAGAAAAAAAATTAGAGAATTCCTGTGAGGAATTGAGGTATTCCATCCATTGTTAGAAACCAAAACGATACAGAGTATAAAGAATTGGCATTATTGTTAACATTAAAACCACCGTGATCCAGGTGATCACATAATGTAAAGCGATACACACGTTACAGTGAGCTAAAGCAGATTTTCATGGATGGAGATTATTTAACATCACTGTAGGCTTTTGCGTCTGGTTTGGGGGGTGGGGGTGGACTGACCTTTCTGCTGGAAACCTGTTCTTCCCGAACCAGCTCATCATTCCCACCCTTGGGCAGGTTGGGCATCTGTCGTGCCTCACCTCGCTTGATGCTCTTCCTCTGCACGGTGTGACTATTGAAGAAGACGAGGATGGACAGGGAAAGTGGTCACATATAATAAAGTTACCTTTACCATGTCAGTTTAGAGAGAACTTTTAAGAAGTGCATAGATTATGGAGGGCCCAGCTAACGTCGTTCCATGCAAAATTTTACTGATGCTCCCCTTTCTCGTTGCTTGTCAATCACCCCGTGGCCATCAGGGGGCGCTCACCTGCGAGAGGGAAGAGGGATCCTCAGGAAGGCTTTGTATCGCAGGAGCTCTCGATGGAGCTCCACAAAGTGCTTCTCCTTCCTCTTCACGGTCCAGGTGAAGTTCCCATGCCGTAGCTCGATCTTGAAGACAGCTGGCAGCACCTGCGAGCAGTGTGTCACACTTCAGGGACACTTCTGACAGAAAGCCATTTCCGGGCTGAATGGTTTGCTCTGCCAGTATCTAAATGCTATATTTTACAAGGGCAGTAGGTGGCATTGTGGAAATTATGTCACAGGTGTGGCTTTGTGTTTCGAACCTTGGTCGCGCTCCTGCGGTGTCGGATGCGGTCTCTGAAACGGTCCTGTGCGCACGTGAATCTCTCCACCTCCGAGATTCGGGCAGTGATGGGTAAGGTGGCCAGATAAATCTTGGCCTCTGGGTTCTTTATGCCCATGGCATCATACACTGAGGAAAACGGGATCTGAACCTCCCCTGGGACAGAGCAGGTGAAGACACAGCATGTCAGGGAAGAGCGGATGGCCAGTGGTGTAACAGGAGGCTCTCTGGCCACGCCCATTGCCCCGTCACCCTTATACCTAGTCAATTCCTTGCACCACATCAACCAAGAACCCACAACAAAGCACCTTAAACCCCCATCTTCTAAACACCTGATCAATGTCCTACTTCCTATGGCTCTGCCCCACCAACAGCAGCCATTACTGACCTACATGGTTGACCACGCTCTCGTCAAAGTCATCCTCCACCTCTCCGACGGCAAGGTCGCGGGTGTCCAGGTTCTCGGTGATGTCACTCATGTCTGCCCCATCCGTCTGGTATGACGTCCCTTTACTCATCCTGGCGGTGAGGGGGCACCTGGTGAGAGGGCGGAGTGGCATCCATCGCTAAGCAAAAGTTCCTACAGAACCCGAGCAAGGCCGCATTCTCACGTACGTCAACCAAACTGAGCAAATGAAACGTCCAACCTGAGATATTTCGTCCATTGTCTGCTGAGTATAGCTGCAATGCCAGGAATCGAGCTGGACTCACTGGTGACTGTGGCTGACTACAGGATGCTGCACAAATCTGTTGCCTCCCACCCTTTGCACTGCACCCTCAATACCTCCTTTAGCAGCTTATCATGAAGATGCTCCATCGAGCACCACAGGAGGTCCTACCCAGGGGCGTTTCTAGCTGTTATAAATATCAGGGACCAAGGTAAGTTTACCAGGGGCTTGATTTTTTTCTTTTTTGAAGGAAGATTGGCAGCGGGGCTAAAATACTCGGGGCTATAGCCCCGACTGATCGGACCTAACGACGCTACTGGTTCCTACCTCCCTGGGGCCTGGAGCTGTATAATTCCTCTGCAGCCACCCTCATTGGGAGCACTGGGAGCACTGGATCCTTGCAACTTCCTGACACTTTTTAAATAGTATTTATGAATTGTCTATTTCATTCTTTTGCACATTATCCTGTATTTCTGCAGCGCACACGGCATCCTCTTCCCAGCCTCTGCACACGCACACCGTTGACCTGTCTTTTCAAGTCAGAGCTGCCGTCTGATTTATGGGAGGGGTCATGTGACCAACGTGTCGCTGCCTCACATCAAAGCTGGACGGCACAGGTCACCTTTCAGATCGCAGCCGCTTCAGAGATCGCAGGACAAAATAAAGCAGAACCCCGTGTGAAAGCTCAGCCCGTATGAGTCTGCGAGCCAAACAAATAATAAAAAAGGGGGTGTCTTTCAGAACGGGAAACACCCTATTCTACACCGGCCGGCTGCTCCATCAACTCAGACGTCCCCATAATAGATATAGAGCGTTTTCCAGGAACAAAGCAGGAAAAGTGGTGATCATAACAAGGTTGGAACATAAGTTGTGTGTCATATAACTTTGGGACTTAACAAGCATGGAACATATCAAGCAGAGAACATAAACTTAGAACATAGCAAGATCTGGGGCTTAACTAGAGAGGAGATTAGCAAGATTTGGAACATGACCAGTGTGGAGTACAGCAAGCCAAGCAACACAAGACATGACATGACATGTCGCCATTGAACAATATGGATTCAAACTAATACCCACCCCCTGCTTGGCAAATCTTACTAACAGAAACAACCCCCAATAACAAATAACAGTACTGGAACAAAGAACCGAAGGCACCAGCACCAAATATCAGTATTGAGATAAGAACCTTGGTGTTTCTTAATGTTTCTTTGCATGGGATCAAAATGAAAATCAGTGGCATCTCCCATTCATATTATCAAAGGGCTCTTATAGGCTACATTTTTTTGGAAAGGGCAAATAAACGTATTTGGTGAAAGAGCAAGACTTATTCCTGTTTTAGGCTGAAGTCCTGTGCTTGAGCCTGTTTGGAGCAGGTTAGGAGTAAAACCACGAGAATCCTTGCTAAGCCTGTAAACCTGCTTGGTAGTTCTGGGATGTGCAAAGGGAATCCATAAATATCTAAGGGCCAGAGTTGAGCTGGGGGGGGGGGGGGTTGGAGGCTGGCGTAGAGCACATCCTGTTGACCGAGAGGAATTCAGCCCTGCTGGGGAGTTCTGTGCCTGACCTCTGTGGGAGCAGAACTCACTCTAAGTCTGGCCCAGGAAAATGCTGCACTTACTATCACACGGGGGATATTAGAAGCGATTAAATGGACAGTGGGACAGGGAGAGTTTTTCAGGGCTATACAGAAAACAACAAACACATTTCATACAAAGAAATTGTGTCGACAGCTTTTCCTGCACAAATTGTAGAATAATGACCATGGAAATGGGCAATAGAAGGACACTAATTTAAAACAGTCGGTAGAACAGGTACTTCCAAAGACAATGGAGAGAGCAGCGTATAAGACAGAACTTTATTTATCCTGAGGGAAATCGCTGAATGTTGTATGTGTCAGTTACTATATACAAAATGGCATGAGTAATTAAACATAAAATATAAATATGTAGTCTTTAAGGTGACAGCGTGCGTGTATATGGTGACTGTATGTGAGGTAGTGTGCAGTAAAAATAACAGTTTTATGGGGGTCCAACTAAGTGTGAAACAGTCCTGGGGGGGGCATGTTGTTTGATTTGGGGAGGGCTAATGAAAACCACAACTCTGGGGAAAAAGCCGTTTCTCGGTATATTAGTCAAGGATCAGATTGCCTGGAACGGCTTTCCGGAAGGTAGAGGGGCTCAAACTAATGATGAGCTGGGTGGGTAGTTTGTCTGATGACACAGATAGCTGCCTTCCTCGGTCGGGCAGAATAAAGAGTGTCCAGGTTCGAGAGACCAGCACCAATGATCTTCTGGGCAGCCAGCGCCGCATGATGCAGGTACTGACGCAGCTGCTGACTTACCAGGCCGCAAGCCGTAGGTGAGGAGACTCTGACTGGGGCTGTGATAGAAGAGGATCAGAAGCTGCTCAGGTGTGTGGACCTCTCTGAGTTTCCTGAGAAACCACAGCCGTCGCTGGGCTTGTCCAATCAGGTGAGAGGTGTTAAATCCCTTGTTATTTATGCTGCGTTCCATCTGAACTCGTAACTTGGAGGAATCAAACGCCAAGCTTAGAATTCAAGACGGCTGCACCCTTCATCAACAGAAGTGAAAGCTGCCGTTATATACTGTTTATTAACAGTTGCGTCTTCTTTGCGTCTCATTCAGTCGGTCGTATACACAGAAATGTCCGACCGCTATCTGTGCACATGTTGCTATGGTGTTTTTATGCACAAAATACAGCGTAATGTGTTATCAACTGATATTGCTAACAGTGGCTAACAATTAACTGGACTAGAATTGGGGTCTGTTTCATTAAGCAGGATTTCTTACTTAGCTGGGTAACTTGTCAGTTTTAAGATAGTCCTGGCTAAATTTAAGCGAACAAAGATAAAGGCCATTTAAACTGGGGTAAATTAAATCTGACGAGTTATCCGGCTAAGCAAGAAATCCTGCTTTTTGCAACAGGTCCCTAGTATTGCTAAATGGCTTTCCGACTGGCTGTACTGGAATGCGGCTAACTTGGGTGTGACGTCATTCCCAGCTCTGACTTCCGACCTCAGAACGCACCATTAAACTCCCAGGAAGTCTTTACATGTTCAATTTAATCACCATAAATGTCGAGGGGAGACATTCTGTCGTCTTCGTTCTCCTGAAGTCTATGATAATTGCCTTTGTCTTGCTGGCGCTCAGGACCAGATTGTTATCACTACAGCAATCAGTCACCACTCATCGACATTTGCGATTAGTCTGACTGCCGCTGTGTCGTCAGCAAATTTCATAATGGCATCCACTCTGCGGTCCATTCCTGAGAAAATTCAATGTCTAGGAGCAGAGAGAAGTGTCCATTCCACAGGTACTCAGTTTGTTGACCAATTTGTGGGGGTTCCCCCCCCCCTCCCAGACCCGAACCGTACCCAGTCACATGGAGGGCAAGTTGGGAAATAGTGAGAAGATTGTAGGGGGGAGGCATCAGATGTCAGACACCACGCCTCTTCTGCACCTCCCTGCGGGACTCTCTCCCAACCACCCACCCTCTCCCTCCCCCCCCCCAGCAGCGGAGGCAGCTGTTAACCTGCATAATAGACGCGTGGCTCTGGGTCAATGACGACATTCCTTCAGAGCTATTGTCTGGGGTGTTTTCATGAGACTGCGCCCACCCCTCCTCCCTGCTGGGAATTAAACTGGGCTTTCTGCTGATGGTGCTAAAGACCCAGCAGGAAGACAACCGGGGGAGGGGGGCTGTGGGATTTGGTCTTCTTGTTGCCTGTAATTTCCCTGTCTCCTCTCCCAAGATCACTTAGATTATGCTCAATCCATAGACTCGCTGGTGTCGTCACAGATGGATCTTTCTGTTGAATATTGCTTTCTTTTTTTTGGCAACAGGGCGGTCAAACACTTACACAATGGATCCTTCACGCGCGTGCTATTCCCCGCGACCAATCCGGGTCGGAAAAACAAGACACCCAGCCCCGAGCGGCGCACATGACGTTACGGCGGCGGTGTCATCCGTTGCGGCAGGTTGTGTCTCAGCGGGCTGGGCCACCTCCGCACACCCTGCCCTAACGACAAGTCTGTGCAGGCCTGCAACTCACCAGGCAAGGCTCTTCCCAGACGCCAGGCCAAATGTTTCGGCAGGCCGGAATGCATGAGGGCTTATTCCATAAGCAGTTCTAGACCAGTCTAGACCCTAATCAGGCCGCCTTGAAAATAATTCTTCTCAAACCATTTTGCGATTTGTCCCATAATTCTCAAACACATTTCATACCTCCCGCTCAGCAAATCTTTTTGGGGGGGGGTCATGGGTAATGGTGTCCTGTATTGATTCAGAGGGTAAGGCCCCCAATTCATCTCTAAGCTAAGTCCTACCACGCTACCCTCTCAGGTGACTGTGGACAGGCTGCTGAGGGACGAGGCGCTCACGGTAAACGTTCCGCCCAGACAGTCCCAGCGGCATTCTCGACATTCTGAAGCGTGAGACTCAAGGTTTTTTGGGAATCCTAATCTGTCTCAAAGGTCTGCTTGCTCCACATGGACTGAGCAGGCCAATATCGATACAGAAACCAGGAAGCCCCCCGGATGCCACGATGCCATATACCAACAGCAATTACAGCAAATGCTGACTAACATTTTGGCTTAGTGACTGGTTATTGACGCCTCATACAGTGTGACACTGAGTCTGAGTATGTGCTTTCATCCATTTGGAAATATCTCATCCTGAAATTCTTATCCCTAGGTGGCAAAACTCGCAAACGTCCGTCACAGATTTCTGAACAACTGGTGTTCCCCATACCGAGGGAAAAAAAGTTAAAAATAAGATTGTTGAAAGTCATGAATGTAACAGACAGGCTGTTGTGCTTACAGTTACTGGCTAAAGGGCCATTTCTGCTCATTTGTTTTTGGGTCACTCAAAGTAAAGACTACTCTGGGAGCTAACTGTCGCTTTAAAACCACACTATATAATCTTCTAGTGGAAAAACATAATCATGACTGAAAGTTGCCAGTCTGAGGTCATGCTGAAGTTAGTTTAATGCTGAAAAGGGGCCTTTGCTTCTAGCTGGCCTCACTGCATCACACTGATTGAATTCAAAGTAGCTTAGTTATCTCTCTGCATGAAAGAATTGCCTAACTAGGTTCGACCAATCCATCCCTGTCGGGGGCCCAGGTAAAGGCTTTCAGCCTTCACACCTCAAACGACCGGTGCTTTTCCACCGGCACAGGAACCGTGCTGTACCGAGGAACCGTGTTTGGACAGAGACGGCGACGCAAACCCAAAGACACGTTTATTTACTGTTCACACGGCATATAGCATGATTTACTATGCGCAGTCTTTTATTTTGTTTGTTTTTACTGTCCACTAACACGTCTGTGAGAATCACCGTCTTGTATCAGCGTCAAACGCTAGCAGGATTAGCATTAACTTCCGTAAATTTGCATTACAAATCCATTCTCTTCAGCTGTTCACTAGTACTTTTTATACAAGTGCTTGGATTTTTTCACATTCTCAGTCATTAGGAATGCATCAATACGTTGCAATGTGTGATACTACTAATAATGTATAATATATAGAATACACCATTTTTTCCTTCAGATAGTCCATGCATATTGACGCAGATCACGCAAACCTCCGTGCATTTCGACCAATCAGACGGTGGTGATGTAACCAAATCCGTTTGGTCACATAATAGCAGGGCTCTGCCAGCACGGTACGGGTCGGGTACGGCTTTACAATGGAAAAGCGGCTCAGGTGCGGCTCGGGTTCCCGGAGGCGGTGGAAAAGCGCCACACGTTGGCAGTGGGAAATACGATCACCGGACCATTAAATTAAAACGGGTAAAATGAAAACGTGGCTCCCTCCCTGAGACGCTGGACCCTAACCCCTAACCCTAACCCTAACCCTAACCCTCCCTGAGACGCTGGACCAAGCCGAGTCTCAGAAAAGGTCGTGCCTCTCCTGTACTTGCATTTCTTTACAGCGCTTCCTTGTTTTTATCTACAACTTAAACGGCCAGCTGTTTTTCTCAAACAATATTCACAATGGCTGCCGAAATGTACCAAGGCCGCCTGCTACCACAGAACTTCTCCCTGTCCAAAGGTCCCATCGATTCAAAGGCGGTGGCCTATTGGGGACGGACGATGTTCTTGAGTCGCAGCGCCTCAACACTAACCACCAGATTCAAGAACAGCACCTTCCCATCAGCCGTTCTGATTCCCAGCACCCACAATCCCCCGTAACAGTCATCTCCACGGCACAAGCATTTTATAGATGTTCCCACACTTTATCAAACACTGACCACATACCATCCAGTTTTGCACATGTTGTTCTGCACCATCTGTATTGTTCTGCACCGTCTTGTTAACCGAGTTTGACTGAAGCAGTAAGCATTCCCATGCACCTGTTGCTCATGGCCAATAAAGAATCTTGGATTACCATTGCACCCCCCCCCCCCCCAATACTGTATCCCTACAATAAATAACTGATAGTGGTTTAAGGTTCACCACAGGAGTCCTCCATCAAACCGTGGGGACTGAGATCAGAGAATGTGTCATGCCGCAGTTTCATCATCGGCAGGAGTCTGACGCACGGAGCCCCTCCCCCAACCACCCGGTTACTTCCAGACCAGTTCCTGGCACGGAGAGCCGAGGGCAGGCTGGCTGTCACAGCTGGAGAGGGTGTGTGTGGGAGGGGGGGGTTGGTGCAACTGGGTGTCACGGGAATAATATATGACAGTAGCCACTGCCCACTGACCCCCCCCCCCCCCCCAACCCGTGCTGAGGGAACAACTGAAATGAATCATTCGCTGTAACTCCTTCACCCGTCATGAATCCGCAGCCAAACTGCAAACGCCGGGGGGTGCTGCGTAGGACAACCAGACTGTCCCCCTGCAAATATGCAAAGATTCCGACTCGTTTTAAAAAAATAAAAGGTGTGGAATTTACCGTAAAAGCAGACAAGGGAGTGTGTGCTTACAGAGCACAGGGGTTGGTGAAGTAAATCACCTTCCAAGAACACACCAGCTTTGCTGTCTGTCATATCACTGAACAAACCCACCACCCAACCTAGGGGAGAACATTTCTCAAAGACCCGCCACTGACATTTAAACCAAAACTGAGTAACAGAATAGACAATATCGAATGTGGCTCCCGTTCGGATGACTGCACCAAACCTGCTCTTAGATCTGCGCTTTGGGTCCAGGGGTTAATTATTAAAACACTACTGTCCGTGGCAGGAATACCACGCATTACAAATGCACCAAGATACCGCATGAATCAAAAACTGCTCCTCTGCTCCGCTTATTGGACGGCATACTCTTAATTAACTCATTAACTAATGACATTCACTCTTAATTAACTCATTAACTAATGACATTCACTCTTAATTAACTCATTAACTAATCATTAACAAGTGGCACAACAAGTAGCACATTCAGTAACACACAATACTTAACCTGAATATCGAGTTGCATCCTGAAGTAAAGTCATTAAATATTACGCGGGTAAGAAGGTAATTATAGAGTTAGTATGTTCAGTCATGTGAAGAGATGCTGGACTGCAAGAAGCCTTGTGAATTTCTGGGACCTTGCAGGTAAGATGGTGCAGTATGAAGGAACAGCTGACACACTACGGCAGGACAGGTGGAGCTGTTAGAACTTTCTGGTTTGGCAGAGTCTGTATAAAAACAAGCCTTCGGACTGATGCGGGTTCGCAGGCTCGGAGCTGAGATATGTTTGTTCCTTTCACATGAGACTCAGACATTCCAGCACCAGTGTGAGTATCCCACCCCCCAGGAGGAACAGAGTCGCTTGTGAAGGGGGTCCACAGGCCCCTTCCTGCCCCCACCCCCCAGAAGTTTACCCCAGCAGCACTGCCTTCCCCCGGCTGTCCGCTACTGGCAGGAACAAATATAGAACGGTAACAGAGACAGAGCTGAAAATGTAAAAGGCAAGTCTCTTTACTGACCTGTTTCCTGTGCGCACCCGGGTCCCACATGGTCTGTCGGTTTTCTCACACGGTGGTAGGTACGGGAGGCGCGCATAGGCACTCTCCCGCAAACAAACAAACACGCGAAAAACTCCCGACTACTGGCAGCTGGGCAGGGTGCTGGAAGTGCCGACTCCTTTGGGAGGGGCTGGCCCCTTGCTGCGTCACTCTCCTCTGCTCAGCCAATCGGGGTGAAATGGGTGGAGACTCCCTGCCCCTATCACAAGGCAGGGCAGACCAAAAGGCTTCAGACAAATATGGAGAGACTGTAAACTTCCTTTCGATTCGGGAGTCATTATATCTCTTGCTCTCCAGAACTTGGAAAGATTTGAAGAATCCCTCTCTCCCTAAATGCTTTTTTATTCCCAAAGGAAAAAGTCACAGCTAAAAGAAAGAACGATGAAGGAAAAATATGCAATGTCAGTTACAAGACTGATGAAGCCAAAGGCTTGGACCAAGGGCAATCTTTGATGACAGAGATAATAATTAGTAATTAGTGTCACGCCTCAGAATGCTACAGTATAAGCACAGAGCTGTGGAGGCATGTCAAGGCTGCGATCAACCGACCAAACCGCCTATAGGGTCACAGCCCATAGTGCACTAGGGTTCACATCTGACCACCGTAGGACTCCTCTGGTAGGTGAGCCATCCTCCAGTGGCTGTAGGTCCAGTGTTTTACAACCCGGTCCTCAGGGACCACAGACAATCCCTTCTAGCTCCCAGTCAATCAAGAACATCGACTACCCGGTGCAGGTGTGTTACGAATTGGGAGGGAACAAAAATGTGTTTCTCTCTGAGGACTGGATTGAGAGAAACACTGCCTTTGCCCGTCTGCACTGGTGATAGGGTTATAAATCACAAAACGATGCCTAAGGGCCACATAGTCTCTGGGTGCTTGATGGGATCGATCCACCTGGATGTGATGGAAGAGACTGGCTCTCAAAACCATGAAAATCGAATACAAGCCCCACAGTTACAGAAGCCGTGAATCATCACATAATCTTTTCAATTTTCCACCTTTGTGCTCAGGAACCTGATGCTGTGGAATCTATGACAATAGCTGAAATGGGCTGTCTGTCCTCAGACAAGCGACAGTGGGATTGTGGGGGTCACTACTGATCTCAGAGACATCAAAATACTGCACTTCAGCCAGTACAATCAGCAACACCAGCACCATGTCTGTTACGGCGCCGTTCAGAGGTCATTTACTTCTTGCAAACAAGAAGTGAAACATTAGTGAATAAATCAGAGATGCGCCACAGCTACTAAAAAAAAAGCAGTGAACGATTAAAGCCACGTTGTCACCTTCATTACTCGTCCTGCCCGCCCCCATGGTCGTTACGGCGACAACGGACTGGAAACATTCTGTTGCTATTATACGACACATAACAAAAAAATGCAATTAAGTCTTGACAAGCTGACATTTCGTTTCCTTACCGAAAATTCCCAGCCTCCTGAACGGGATGGCAGCCACGAGTAGCTTGGCTTCTCGCGACGCTCACACACCTTTTTCTGACTCGTGCGACGTCAGCGTGCTCAAAGTGGGTTGAGCAGCAGCCTGACCTTTGACTCCGGGATATTTTTTTCTGTCCTTTTACAGGTATGGGCGGAATTTTAATTTCCTCTCATATGTTGTTTTCCAGCTTGACGTCTCCACACCCTGCTGTCATTACGCTAGTAAACGTTGCTGTTCTTAACTTTGTCGCGCTGGATTTAGAATTCCCTCTGAGTGCTTTGTAGTACGTACACCCCATGCTCTGTTAGATAACTAGGTAGTACAACACTGGATCTACTTTTCCCTCAAAAGGCGCATCAAAGGTAGATGAGTTGTTCAGATGTGTTCAGGGAAGCCATTGGGCACATTACAGATGTACTGATCGACTGTTATTTTTGCAGTTGTGGCCTGTTAGCCGCCTACAATTTCAGCAGCAAAGTGTTTTCAGATTCAGAAATGCCATTTACAGGGGACTTTTTGCACACAGCACCATTCCCAGTAAATTCTACACATTGTAGTGCAGGGTTCCCCTAAGTCCAGTCCTGGAGGGTCAGTCTGCATCACAGTTTGCAGATTTCCCTGCTGCAAAACACCAGCTAAACCTGGTAATAAGGTATGTCTGAGCAGGGAAGTCTGTAAACTGTGGTGCAGACTGACTCTCCAGGACCGGACTCAGGGGGAACCCTATTGTAGTGCATGCAAATCCCAGGAAGGTAGCTGTTTCTGATGTGCCAGAACCAGCACGGATCGGTACCAGCCATCACACCCGTGTTCAGAATCCCTCAGCTCTGGCATCTTAGCGGTGCTGATATTCACTTGAACAGAGAGTGAACCTCTTTACTGGGCCCATGTTCTGTATATATTCAGTTTCAGCCACGTCATTCGCCGTTTGCAGGAAAAAGGCTGTTTCTATTAGCAAGCAACTGTGCCAAATAAACTAGTCAGGCTGTCCGTTGGGAAATTAATGAAAATGAATTCACACAAAAAAATCATTAAAACGAATTGAACTGAATCACTGCAGGGTGTTGCTGTAGTGCTGAACTGAATCACTGCAGAACAAGAGATAATGGTTGGATTCATATGAATTTCAGGTCAGACAAACTTAACTACAATTGATTCTGGACCTTGGAACCCACAAAACACCTCTACTTATAACTTGTTACCTGTGCAAAGAAGACGGATCATGGAGATTGACCTTTCTGAAAGTCGTCTGCGGTAAGAATGCCTAACCCTTGTTCAGAGATAGTCCAATACCCAGAAAAACATGACGCAGGATGAATCAGATTTCACTAATTTTGCTTCTAGGTGTAGGCCTACAGCTAGCCCATCACTATATTGACTCAAAAATGAAAAACACAGTCACCACGGTAACCCAATAAACATTAGGCAAATATTTCCACACAAAAAAACTGTTCACAAAGGTATGTTTCCCTGACTTCTACTACGAACACCAAATGCCTTCAGGGACTCAAGTGCTGTGAATGGATGTTATTGTACTGTTCGTACAGTGAGTGGTGTTACTTCTGTGCACCAGGAAGGTCAGAAAAGCCACATAATTTCCATCAAATTTTAAAACAAATTTTAAAACATGGCCGGCAGCCACGACGATCAGGAGCCACAGGTAGGTAGGAGAAAGTAACTCTTCCGTCCCTTCATTGCTCAGCCCCGTCCTCTGTTCCTCCACGCTTCCCGTTCTGCCCGTTCACACGTGCGCACGAATCGATCCATCCAGGTCCTGGTAACTATTTCACCTAACACAGCCCAGATGGTGTGACTTCAACAGGCGACTCACCTACCTACATAGGTAACGTATAAACTGTTAAACTCCAATCAAATCGATAGTCCATGTAATAAAAGGATCCGGTCTCAGATATCGATTATAGGTGCAGCAAGGGCGAGGCGCAGCGAGGAGCCAAAGGCTGAGCAGACAGCCACGGATTTCTAGACTGGACTCGTGAATCCTACGTTATCTACAACTAACTACACAGCTGATGCATTTAATCTAATCTCAGTGAAAGCCGGACCCTCAGCGGTCGCCCTCTAGAACGTGGAACAAGTGTTTTTTTACGGCTGGATTAAACGTATTTATTTTCATTAGCATCATTTATTCGCGGTTACAATACGATATATCAAGCTGCCCTGCCCTCTTGTGGTTAAATAAATATACTGCACTCTGCTTCAAAGCGAATCTGTAACTTGATTTTATGTATTAAGACACTTGTTATACTGTACAAGCTCCAGAAAGATCTGAGACAAAGTAGAACTGCAAACATGTGGGTCAGCAACAACAACAACAAAAAAAAAACAATAAATCAAGCGAAAGAAGCAGCTGTCCAGACAACAACATAATGATATTTTCTGTACGGTACCCATAAAGAAAAAAATTCTGTTGATTAGAACAATTACTTACGATTATAGACTAAATATGTATAAATATTTAACACACTTACTTTTAATGTAGCTGAGCGGGGCACCATTTTGTGGTATAACCTGCTATACCTTTATGTGGGCCGGTAATTTCCGTATTGGTCTAGAGGAGTAAAAAGGGGAGAATCTCTTAGACTTTAACATTTGCAAAAAAAAGTCGAAAAAACACCAGAATTCTTAAAATATAACCTACAGGTGTTAGCCAGTACAATAAATTACGTTTTTAAATTCCTTACAGACATTTTAGTCAATATTGTATTAACCATAAATGAAATTCTCAGTACTGCCAGTTAATAAAAAAATGTTTGGATGTTGTGCAGCGAAAAGTCGATATAAGGAGCAAAGACAGACTTTGAACTTCTGTGTAATATATATATAGCACGTTGAGTATTATATTACACAGGAGACAGATTATAATCACCTAATCAGCAAGACAACTGCAACTCGCAGCTTGAACCTTTTTTTAATGATACGCCGAGACAAATATTTGATCAGAACTTATCTAAACCGTTCCGCCAAAGAATAACGTTATAACTGATTTCCGAAATATAGGCTCTTCTTTAATGTTTACCCTCGAATCGCGAGCAATTTTATACCTCACAGACTCTGGCTATAGATGGCACGACGGATAACAATGATAAATCAACCGATGGACAGCGCTCAAACAATTGCTTTAAAGTTAAACCTTTAACCGATCAGTATATTATCACACGCATGTATCTGCGTCGGACAGTAATAAGCAGAATTAAAAATGGGTCGGATATGCAGAATCGACACCACTTCGTTTTTCTTAAAGAGTACCGGGAATAACAGCATAACTTTGGATTGAGTATTGGAAGGGGTTGAGGTCTCTCCCCGTTTAAGGGGGTCCAGAGGGTTTTATTGACTGGTTTTGACTATTGGGGGGTTACAACCCTCCCCAACGCCAGATAATTTTCGCCCATGACCGGGAACGTTTTTTGCGCCCCGGCTCCTCGTGAACAGGTGTTCTGACAAAACATCCTACCTACCGAGACGTGCTATCGAGCCTTTCTGCGCATGTGCAGTTCCACCGTCTTGGGATTAGGGTTAGGTTTTAGGGGTTAGNGCTTGTGAAGGGGGTCCACAGGCCCCTTCCTGCCCCCACCCCCCAGAAGTTTACCCCAGCAGCACTGCCTTCCCCCGGCTGTCCGCTACTGGCAGCTGAAAATGTAAAAGGCAAGTCTCTTTACTGACCTGTTTCCTGTGCGCACCCGGGTCCCACATGGTCTGTCGGTTTTCTCACACGGTGGTAGGTACGGGAGGCGCGCATAGGCACTCTCCCGCAAACAAACAAACACGCGAAAAACTCCCGACTACTGGCAGCTGGGCAGGGTGCTGGAAGTGCCGACTCCTTTGGGAGGGGCTGGCCCCTTGCTGCGTCACTCTCCTCTGCTCAGCCAATCGGGGTGAAATGGGTGGAGACTCCCTGCCCCTATCACAAGGCAGGGCAGACCAAAAGGCTTCAGACAAATATGGAGAGACTGTAAACTTCCTTTCGATTCGGGAGTCATTATATCTCTTGCTCTCCAGAACTTGGAAAGATTTGAAGAATCCCTCTCTCCCTAAATGCTTTTTTATTCCCAAAGGAAAAAGTCACAGCTAAAAGAAAGAACGATGAAGGAAAAATATGCAATGTCAGTTACAAGACTGATGAAGCCAAAGGCTTGGACCAAGGGCAATCTTTGATGACAGAGATAATAATTAGTAATTAGTGTCACGCCTCAGAATGCTACAGTATAAGCACAGAGCTGTGGAGGCATGTCAAGGCTGCGATCAACCGACCAAACCGCCTATAGGGTCACAGCCCATAGTGCACTAGGGTTCACATCTGACCACCGTAGGACTCCTCTGGTAGGTGAGCCATCCTCCAGTGGCTGTAGGTCCAGTGTTTTACAACCCGGTCCTCAGGGACCACAGACAATCCCTTCTAGCTCCCAGTCAATCAAGAACATCGACTACCCGGTGCAGGTGTGTTACGAATTGGGAGGGAACAAAAATGTGTTTCTCTCTGAGGACTGGATTGAGAGAAACACTGCCTTTGCCCGTCTGCACTGGTGATAGGGTTATAAATCACAAAACGATGCCTAAGGGCCACATAGTCTCTGGGTGCTTGATGGGATCGATCCACCTGGATGTGATGGAAGAGACTGGCTCTCAAAACCATGAAAATCGAATACAAGCCCCACAGTTACAGAAGCCGTGAATCATCACATAATCTTTTCAATTTTCCACCTTTGTGCTCAGGAACCTGATGCTGTGGAATCTATGACAATAGCTGAAATGGGCTGTCTGTCCTCAGACAAGCGACAGTGGGATTGTGGGGGTCACTACTGATCTCAGAGACATCAAAATACTGCACTTCAGCCAGTACAATCAGCAACACCAGCACCATGTCTGTTACGGCGCCGTTCAGAGGTCATTTACTTCTTGCAAACAAGAAGTGAAACATTAGTGAATAAATCAGAGATGCGCCACAGCTACTAAAAAAAAAGCAGTGAACGATTAAAGCCACGTTGTCACCTTCATTACTCGTCCTGCCCGCCCCCATGGTCGTTACGGCGACAACGGACTGGAAA